CACTGGCCAGAGCAATTAGACAGACGAAAGAAATTAAAGGCATAAAAATAGGAAAAGAAGAACTTAAATTATCACTATTTGCAGGTGACATGATTCTATACCTAGTAGACCCAAAAGGGTCTACAAAGAAACTATTAGAGCTAATAAATGAATTCAGCAAAGTGGCAGGATATAAAATCAACACGCATAAATCAAAGGCATTCCTGTATATCAGCGACAAATCCTTTGAAATGGAAATGAGGACAACCACTCCATTCACAATATCCTCAAAAAAAATAAAATACTTGGGAATCAACCTAACAAAAGAGGTGAAAGACTTATACAATGAAAACTACAGAACCCTAAAGAGAGAAATAGAAGAAGATCTTAGAAGATGGAAAAATATACCCTGTTCATGGATAGGCAGAACTAACATCATCAAAATGGCGATATTACCAAAAGTTCTCTATAGTTTTAATGCAATGCCAATCAAAATCCCAACAACATTTCTTGTAGAAATAGAGAAAGCAATCATGAAATTCATATGGAAAAATAAATGACCCAGAATAGCAAAAACAAAGCTAAGCAGGAAGTGTGAATCAGGCGGTATAGCGATACCAGACTTCAAACTATACTACAGAGCAATAGTAACAAAAACAGCATGGTACTGGTACCAAAACAGTCGGGTGGACCAATGGTACAGAATAGAGGACACAGAAACCAATCCACAAAACTACAACTATCTTATATTTGATAAAGGGGCTAAAAGCATGCAATGGAGGAAGGATAGCATCTTCAACAAATGGTGCTGGGAAAACTAGAAATCCATATGCAACAAAATGAAACTGAATCCCTTTTTCTCGCCATGCACAAAAGTTAACTCAAAATGGATCAAGGAGCTTGATATCAAATCAGAGACACGGCGTTTGATAGAAGAAAAAGTTGGCTATGATCTACATACTGTGGGGTCAGGCTTCAAATTCCTCAATAGGACACCCATAGCACAAGAGTTAATAACTAGAATCAACAAATGGGACTTACTCAAACTAAAAAGTTTTTTCTCAGCAAAAGAAACAATAAGAGAGGTAAATAGGGAGCCTACATCCTGGGAACAAATCTTTACTCCTCACACTTCAGATAGAGCCCTAATATCCAGAGTATACAAAGAACTCAAAAAATTAGACAATAAGATAACAAATAACCCAATCAACAAATGGGCCAAGGACCTGAACAGACACTTCACAGAGGAGGACATACAATCAATCAACAAGTACATGAAAAAATGCTCACCATCTCTAGCAGTCAGAGAAATGCAAATCAAAACCACCCTAAGATACCATCTCACTCCAGTAAGATTGGCAGCCATTAGGAAGTCAAACAACAACAAGTGCTGGCGAGGATGTGGGGAAAAGGGTACACTTGTACATTGCTGGTGGGACTGCAAATTGGTGCAGCCAATTTGGAAAGCAGTATGGAGATTTCTTGGAAAGCTGGGAATGGAGCCACCATTTGACCCAGCTATTCCCCTTCTCGGTCTATTCCCTAAAGACCTAAAATGAGCATGCTACAGGGACACTGCTACATCTATGTTCATAGCAGCACAATTCACAATAGCAAGACTGTGGAACCAACCTAGATGCCCTTCAATAGACGAATGGATAAAAAAAAAATGTGGCATTTATACACAATGGAGTATTACCTGCATTAAAAAATGACAAAATCATAGAATTTTCAGGGAAATGGATGGCATTAGAGCAGATTATGCTAAGTGAAGCTAGCCAATCCCTAAAAAACAAATGCCAAATGTCTTCTTTGATATAAGGAGAGTAACTAAGAACAGAGTAGGGACGAAGAGCATGAGAAGAAGATTAACATTAAACAGGGATGAGAGGTGGGAGGGAAAGGGAGAGAGAAGGGAAATTGCATGGAAATGGAAGGAGACCCTCAGGGTTATACAAAATTACATACAAGAGGAAGTGAAGGGAAAGGGGAAAAAATACAAGGGGGAGAAATGAATTACAGTAGATGGGGTAGAGAGAGAAGAGGGGAGGGGAGGGGGGATAGTAGAGGATAGGAAAGGCAGCAGAATACAACAGACACTAGTATGGCAATATGTAAATCAATGGATGTGTAACCGATGTTATTCTGCAGTCTGTATACGGGGTAAAAATGGGAGTTCGTAACCCACTTGAATCAAAGTGTGAAATATGATATATCAAGAACTATATAATGTTTTGAACAACCAACAATAAAAATTAAAAAAAAAAAAAGAAAACAGTGTTAAGGTTTAGATATGAGGTGTCTCCCCAAAGCTAATGTGCAAGACAAAGCAAGAAAGTTTAGATGTGAAATGATTGCATAACAAGAGCTTTAACATAATCAGTGCATTAATTCACTGATAGGGATTAACTGGGTGGGAACTGTAGGCAGATAGGGTGTGGCTGAAAGAGGTGGATCATGAGGGATGTGTGTTTAGGGTTTATATTTTGTCCCCAGTGAGCAGAGCCCTCTCTCAGCTTCCTAATTGCTATGTCCTGAGCTGCTTTCCTCCTCCATGCCCTTCTGCCATGATGGTTTGCCTCACCTCAGGCCCAGAGCAATGGAGTGAGATTTCTGAAATTGTAGGTACTAAGTAAACTTGTCCTTCTCTAAAATTGTTGTTTTCAGGTGTTTTAGTCACAGCACTGAAAAAGATGACTAAGACACACAGAAAGATCCCAAATAAACAATCTCATGCTACTTCTCATGGCCCAAGGAAAGCAGGAACAAAATAATTCTAAAACCAGTAGAAGACAGAAAGTAATTAAGATCTGAGCCAAAAGAAATGAAATAGAGAATTAAAAAAAAATAGAGGGGCTGGGAATGTAGCTCAGTGATAAAGTGCTTGCCTTACATGTGTGAGGCACTGGATTCACTCAGCTCCTCATAAAAATAAATAAAGATACTATGCGTTCATTTACAACTAAAAAAAATGTTTTTAAACAATACAAATGATCAATGCAACATATATTGGGTTTTTTCAAAAGATAATGAGATGGATAAATGCCTAGCAAAACTAACCAAAATAATTAGAGAAAAGATCTAAATCAACACAATAAAAGATTTAAAAAGGAGATATCACTACAGACACTTCTGAAATCCACATGATCATTAGAGACTATTTTGAAAACTCATATTCCAATAAATTGGAAAATCTAGAATATATTGACAAATTTCTAGACACATAGAACTACACAGATTGAATCAAGAGCAAATAAGAAAATCCAAACAGATAAATATCAAGCAATGATATTATAATAGTAATAAAAAGCTATTATCCAAAGAAAAGCCAAGGACCAGATGGATTCTCAGCTGACTTGTACAAGGCCTTTAAACAAAACCTAATACCAATCTTCCTCAAATTATTCAATGAACTAGAATGAGAGAACACTCCCAAAATAATTCTCTAAACCAGTATCATCTTTCTACCAAAACCAGAAAAAGACACAAAAAGAAAACTATAGACCAATATCACCTATTAATATATTCAAAAATTCTTAAGAAAATACTAGCAATCCATATTTTAAAACACATTAAGAAGACTTTACACCATGATTAAGTTGGATTCATCCCAGGGATGCAAGATTGGTTCAACATACATATAGCAATAAAGGTAATTCATCACATAAATAGAATCAAGGACAAATATCACATGATTATCTCAACAAATGCAGAAAAAGCCTTAGACAAAATTCAGCACCCATTCATGGTTTAAAAAACTAGGGACAGAAAGCACTAACTTCAACATCATAAAGACTAAATATGACAAACCCAAAGTCAACATCATCCTTAATAGAAAAAAGCTGAAAGTATTTCTTTAAAATCAGGAACAAGACAAAAAATGTCCACTTTCACCACAACTATTAAATATAGTTCTTGGGATTGGGGTTGTGGCTCAGCGGTAGAGCACTTGCCTTGCACATGTGAGGCACTGGGTTTGATCTTCAGCACCACATAAAAATAAATAAATAAAGATATTGTGTTCATCTTAAAAATATTTTTTTCTTGAAACTCTAGGCAGTATATTCAGATAAGAGAAGTAAATTAAAGGGATAGAAATAGGAAAAGAAGTCAAATTATCTGTTTATAAAACAATTCGACAGCTGGAAGACTCAAAAAATTCCAGCAGAAAACTTCTAGAGTTGATAAGCAAATTCTGCAAAATAACAGATACAAGATAACATATAAAAAATTAATAGGTTTCTTATACTTTGATAATGAATTGTCCAAGAAAGAAATCAAGAAAACTATTCCATTCAAAAGAGTCTAAAAAAATAATTGGGAATAAATCTAATCAATGAATGAAATGCAATGAAAACAACAGAACACTGAAGGAAAAAAACCAAAGACCTTAGAAGATATAAAAACCTCCTATGTTCTTGGATAGGAAGAATTAATATTGTCAAAATGCCAAACTACTAAAAGCATTATACAGATTCAATGCAATCCCCATTAAAATACCAATGATATTCCTCACAGAACAAGAAAAAAACAGTCCTAAAATTTATTTGAAAGAATACAAGATGCAGAATTGCAAAAACAATGCTGAGCAAGAAGAATGATGCTGAAGGCCTCACAATACCTGATCTCAAATTATACTACAGAGCTACAGTAACAAAAGCAGCATGGTATTGGTAGCAAAACAGACATATAGACCAAAGGAATTGAATAGAATACACAGAAACAAACCCAGATGGTTACAGTCATCTGATATTTGACAAAGGTGCAAAAAACACATGTTGGAGGAAAATATAGTCTTTTTTAGCTATTGGTGCTGGGAAAACTGGTTATGTTTTCCATATGTAGAAGAATGAAGCTAGATCTCTACCTCTCACCCTGCACAAAAGACAACTGAAAGTGGATCAAAAACCCCGGAATTAAACCAAGAACTTTGCAACTCCCAGACAAAAACATAGGCTGGACACTCCAACATATTGGCACAGGCGCCAATTTCCTTAACAAGAAATAAAACCAAGGCCAGCCACGGTCTCCGGCGCCAGCTACAGCTACGCCGCGGCCGCTGTCACTATGGCCCATTACAAAGCCGCCGACTCGAAGCGCGAGCAGTTCCGGAGGTACTTGGAGAAGTCGGGGGTGCTGGACACGCTGACCAAAGTGTTGGTAGCCTTATATGAAGAACCAGAGAAACCTAATAGTGCTTTGGATTTTTTAAAGCATCACTTAGAAGCTGCTACCCCAGAAAATCCAGAAATAGAGTTGCTCCGCTTAGAACTGGCAGAAATGAAAGAAAAATATGAAGCTACTGTAGAAGAAAATAAAAAACTGAAAGCAAAGCTTGCTCAGTATGAACCACCTCAGGAGGAGAAGCGTGCTGAATAGGATTCTTCTCAGTTGAAAAGACACTGAAAAAATGGTTTTGTATGACTTGAATAGTTTGTATAGTATATAATCTTTTCTGAACAGATGCTATAAAACTCTTTTAATATGTTAAATTCACACTTCAACTGTTATAAACACATATACTTAGAATCACCAATAAAAACTCAATATAACTTGCTTTGGGTCTTAAAGCAGAAGAATCCAAAGTGAATCCTGAAAAAAAAAATTAAACAGCCATCTAATTCATTAAAAGATTTCTATTTATTAGTCTGATTAGGAATAATGGTACTAGTTGTATTTTAGCCAAGGAAGATTAGCATGGAGGTATTCCTTGGTTTAGTTCAGGATATAAGAATAGATAGAATCATTCTCGACAATGAAGATGACAGAGTTTATATTCTCTTTAGGCAACTGGAGAGATCTGTGTGACAAGATGCTTTTGCATGGGTTCCCACGAATCATCTTCTCTTATTTATATAATGCAGAACAAATAACTCTTCTTTGCCACCACTTTGCCTTAGATAACTGTGTGTGTGTCAGTTTAACTCTGACACCACGTTTTCCTTCTATGCAATCATGCCCTATCTGATAATGTTGCCTTGTTTTGCTGTGTGCTTTATTGGGTCCTAGTTGCACATTAGCCTGTCTGTTTTTCAATTTGATTAATAATGCAGTTACCCTGATTGTAATTTATAGAATTTTAAACAGGATCACACTATTACCCTGCCTTACTTAGTTGCTTAGTTGAGCACAGAAGTAATATAAAATTCTGGTTCATGCACAAACTGGAATGAGAAGAGGAATGAGCCATATATCATGGGCAATGTTGGGTATAATTATATAGTGGTTTTTCCCTCAAAGTATTTTTCTAATTTTCAGTTCATTTTATCTTCATTATTCCTGTGAAGTAGGTAGGGCAAGTATGAGGGGAGGTTGGGCACTGAATTTTTAGGCCAAAGACTGATATTACAAAACTATTTGCTAACTACAGAACCTTGGGCACATCAGTTAACTGCTCTTAGATTCACTTTCCTTATCTGTTAATTGAGAAGAATGTCTGTGCTGCCTACCTCACAGGGTTGTTGTGAGGGTCAAATGAGAATGTATGTGAAAGATTTGTAAATGGTAAACCACTAAAAAAAAAAAAAAAGAAATAAAACCAAGACTCAATAAGTGGGATGGTATTAAAATAAAAAGTTTCCACACAGCAAAGCGAATGAGAACATGAAAAGAGAGCCTATAGAATTGAAGAAGATCTTTGGTAGTTACTCTTCCAACAGGGGATTCATATCCAAAGTACATAAAGAACTCATAAAACTTAACAGCAAAAAGCTAGTAACTCAATAAATGGGCAAAAGATCTAAAAAGACATTTCTTAAATAAGAGAAGAAATAAAAACAGCCAACAAATATATGAAAAAAATGTTTAGCATCCCTAGCAATCAGAGAAAGGCAAATCAAAACTGCATTGAGATTTTATTTCACTCCAGTTAAAATGGCAGTTATCGAGAATGCAAATAATAAATGCTGGTCAGGATGTGGAAAGAAAGGTACAGTCATATATTCTTGGTGGGACTTCAAATTAGTACTGTCACTTTTTAAGACAGTATGGACATTTCTAAAAGACTAGGGATGGAACCACTATATGACACATCTATCCCACTCCTTGGTATTTATCAAAAAGAACTAAAATCAGCATATGACAGTGATGCATGCATATTACTATTTATAGCAGCATAATCCACAATAGCCAAGGTGTGAATCCAACCTAGATGTGTGTCAATAGATGAATGTATAAAGGAAATATATAGATACACATCTGACTTCTACACTGCCATAAAGAAGAATGAAATTATGGATTTGCAGGTAAATGCATTGAATGAGAGAATATCATGACAAGTGAAATAAACCAGAATCAGAAAGATAAGGGTCAAATGACTTCTCTCATATGTAAAAGAGAGGAAAAAGGAATAAAAAAGGGGATCTCATGGAAATCGGAAAGGGATCAAGCAGAAGGAGGAGAAGAACTGGAGAATGAAGTTAACCAAACTATGCCATGTGCAGGTATGAGTATATCACAATGCATTTCAATTGTATACATAATATAATGCACTGATAAAAATTTTAAATAAGACATAAAAAACTGATAAAAAGCATACACAGGAGGAAAATATTAAAAGCAGCTAGAGGAAAAGAAGTAGTCTTTGACCCACTTTGAGTTGCCTTCTAAGGAAGAACATAAAATGACTGCTCATAGAAAAAAATAAAAGTCAAGAAATAATAGAAAGATATCTTCAAAGGAAGGCAAAAAAAATCATTTCCAGACAAGCAAAAATTGAATGTATTGCCATCAATACACATATTGAAAGAAATGCCAAATATATATAGAAATACTAAATTTGTATTTGATGCCAACAAATATAATAGAGCAATAATAAGTGACAATATCAGTGGAAATGGTAGAGTAAGGGCCAATGAACAGCTGCTCCTATATAAAAATAATTTTAAAAATTGGCAAAAAAAAAAGTGTCCAAATTGACTTTTTAAGAACACTGAAAATGAACCAATCTTCTAACAATTCAAGGAGGCTTTATCCAGGAAAAGTGGCTGAATCTTTATCAAAACAAGATTTGCCTAATTTGCCTAATCCCATACTCCTTCCGCAATTCCATAGTAGCCTTAAAAACCAACAACCCAGAATCACAGAGAAATCAGCAGCCTAGCAGCCATTGTTATTAGTAGAATGGATATGAATCTCCCCCACAGTACTCATAATATTGTCAGTATCTGACTTAGTCTGGCAGTTTCCTAAAAACACCATTGATAGGGCTTGTCTTTATTTTGCATAAGACTTCACTTAGTGTGAACACCTTTTTTCCACAAATGCATTCATCAAAAAATTGAGCAACAACAATTGTTTAACATTATAGCTGCCTCAGGCATTGTTAACAATTGTGGCAAACAAGACTCAGCCAACAGAAACTATTCCTAAAGAAACTCAGATCTTAGACTTACCAGACAGACTTTAAATCAGGAGTTTTAAATATAGTCAAAAAATAATGCAAGGAAATTTTGTCTAAAGAATTTGAGGAAAGTATGGAAATGAGGTCATGTCATATCTAATAAAGAATATTGATAACAACCAGTATATTAATGATTTACAGAGAGGAAAAGAGATAAAGGGACAAAAGAAATATTGACATAATGGCCCCAAACGTCTCCAGTTTGATTAAAAAAAAAAATGTTAATCAAGACATCTAGAAACTTGACAAATTCCAAATAGGATAAAGTCAAAGATATCCACATCTAGACACCATGAACTACCAAAATCGAAAAGAGAGAAGTGACTCATCATATGCAAGGAATCTTCAATAATATTTGCCAGTTCTCAGTGGAAACTATGGAGTCCAGGATACAGTAGGATATCAAGTAAGAATCTGTATACAGCAAAACTGTCCTTCAAAGGTAGAGACAAGGGCTGGGGTTGTGGCTCAGTGGTAGAGAGCCTCTACCTCACAGAACCTCACAGGTGTGAGACAATGGGTTCAATTTTCAGCTCTGCATATAAATAAATGAATAAAAATAAAGATTCATCAACAATTAAAAAAAAAAGAAACGGAGACAAGCCAGGTGCAGTGGCAAGATGCCTATAATCCCAGTGACTCAGGAGGCTGCAGCAGGAGGATCAGGAGCTCAAAGCCAGCCTCAGCAAAAGCGAGGTGCTAAGCAACTCAGTGAGACCTTGCCTTTAAATAAAATACAAAATAAGGCTGGGGATGTGGCTCAGTGGTGGAGTATCCCTGAGTTTACTCTGGTACCTCCCCAATAGAGACAAATTAAGATATCACAAAATAAATAAAAACTGAGAGAATTTATCATGAATATGCCTGCTTTACAGATATGCTAATGGAATCCTTCAGCAGAAATAAAAGGACACTAGACAGTAACCCAAATCCACATAAGAAATAAAAAGCAGCCGGATGTGGTGGCGCACACCTGTAATCCCAGAGACCCGGGAGACTGAGGCAGGAGGATCTCGAGTTCAAAGCCAGCCTTAGCAATGGCTAGGCACTAAGCAACTCAGTGAGACCCTGTCTGTACATAAAATACAAAAAAGGGCTGGGGATGTGACCCAGTGGTTGAGTGCCCCTGAGTTCAATACCTGGTACCAAAAGAAATAAAAATAAAATAAAGAGCATTGATAAAGATAACTCTGTCATTAGTGTTTCCAACTGAATTGTGTCTAAAATTCACATTAACTTCTCCCACTGAATAAATTTAGAAGGCTGCAAGCCCCATAATGGTGTAGGCTACAACTTTGGATTTTATTCTGACCCTGACAAGAAGTCATTAGAGATATCATTAAAGGAGTTAAAGGGTCATGATTTGATCCTTATTTTTAAAATCTACTTTGGCAGCCACATATCTATGTCACTGGAATTCCATTTAGACTAGAAGTAGGGAATAGGGAGAATCTTGGTATAGTTAAATTTTTATAGAAATAGTCCAGGGAGTAACCATGGGATCCTGGACTAAAAGAGTATTTAATAGGAATTGAAAAAAAAAAAGTAGGTTTCAAAATACTTATAAAGGTAGAGTCTACAGAACTGATTAAGGGTTAGATGTGAGGAGAAATAAGTAAAGGTTGACTCCTGGATTTTGGCTTGAATAACTGGGTCAGAACCATATATTGAGAAAAAGATCCAGTAGAATTAGAGTCAAGGGAAGCAAATAAAAATTCTACTTTGCCCATTTAAGTTTAGATACCTATTTGATATTTATACAAAGGTGTCAAATAGGGATAGACAATTTGGAGCTCAGAAGTGAGGTCATCAGTGTACAAATAGCATTTAAACCTATGAGTTGACTCAGGAAACTATGAAGACAGAGAAAAGAAAGGAGACTAGGGTCAAGCCCCAGGGTGTTCAAATCTCAGGATGCAGGCAGAGAAGGAGAAGCAGCAGCAAGAGTAATAGAAAGAAGCCAAAAGAGGATGGTAGCACATTCTCCACAAGTAACGATCTCAAGAAAGAAGTGGTGATTGATGTCAGAAATGTTGCTGACAGGACAAACATGCAAGGCATGGAAAAATGGTCATTAGTGTTTAGAATACGGTGATCGTTTGTCATCTTGACCAGTGTAAAGTGAATGAAGTTGTGCTGACAGATGTTTAATTGAG